TAGCCCAGGCTGGCCTCGAACTCACAGAGATCCGCCTGGCTCTGCCTCCCGAGTGCTGGGATTAAAGGCATGCGCCACCACCGCCCGGCGATATGTTTACTTTTTACTAATGTTCTTGTAATTGAAAACTGGAGTTTGAGTTCCTGAAGATGTACATGCAAATCTCTTAGGACCTTCTCAGAACCGGGTATGAGGCAGGACAGGCAGTGGAGAAAGATGCTCTCCGTGAGCTCCTCTCACTTCCTAGTTCCTGAAATTCAGACAGAAATCCCAGTAGTCTTTCAGATTTCTCTTTTCAAAACAAAGAAATGACTTGGTAACACCAGTGTTCTCTCTGTTCTGTTTTGTGACTTGATGAGCTGTTTGCCTCCATAATCAGTTGAACTCATAAGGTCATCGTAGTCTCTATCTTTATAAATGGCAGAGGATGATCCGGTTCTCATTTGAATATTTGAATATGTTTAGTATTTTCTGATGAAGCCAGAATAAGGGCAGTGGTTTTTTAAAGTTCATTCTTTTATATTGTTTGTCATTTGAAATTTTAAAAGGTTAAGGAATTGGTAACACTGCCCTTTTCAAGACTTGAGCATCTTTGAATCGTAGTGCTTAAAATGGAACTAGTTAGTAAAGACTAACAACTAAAAATTCCTTTACTAGTTGAGGGGAACCAAGGTGGGTGTGATGGTGCACACATGTAATCTCAGGACGTGGGAGGCCGAGGTAAGAAAATTGCCACAAGTTTGCGGGCAGCCTGACCTCTACTGGGAGACTATAACTGTGTCCCCAAAATGAATAAATGAAACGGCATCGATTAAGGCAACTTGTTTTGAAGACAGTGTCATCTACGGTGCCCTGGTTGTTAAAATGCTGAGTACATCATGGGGCACACTGGTATATGTTGCTCTGTTGAATATCTGATTTTGAATAGATGTATCTGTCTTTCTGTATCTTCTCTCCCTCAGTGGCAGCATGGAACCTGCCTTTCACAGAGGGGACCTCCTTTTCCTCACGAACCGTGTTGAAGATCCCATCCGAGTGGGGGAGATCGTCGTCTTCAGGATAGAAGGAAGAGAGATTCCTATTGTGCATCGAGTCTTGAAGATCCATGAAAAGTACATGCCAGCTTTTTGTTTGTGTCTTTGAAAAGTTTTGTTTCCCAGTTTGAAGTGTTCAATATTGACATGAAAATTATTGAAGAGCGGGGCTAGAGAGACGGCTCAGCAGTTAAGAGCACTTGTTGCTCTCACAGAGGACCCAGGTTTGGTTCCCAGCAAGCACATGATAGCATGTAACCATCTGCAACTTCAGTTTCAGGAGATCTGATGCCTTCTTCTGACCCTGGGGGCACCAGGCATTGGTGCACATATAGGCAAAACACTCATATACGTAAAACTTTTTATTTTTACTTTTTCGAGACAAGGTTTCTCTGTACGACAGTCTTGGCTGTCCTAGAATTTACTTTGTAGACCAGGCTGGCCTTGAATTCACAGAGATCCACCTGCTTCTGCCTCCCAAGTGCTATGATTAAAGGCACACACCACCACTATCCAGCTAATAAAACATTTTTTTTAAATTAATAAAGAGGGCTGGAGATGTAGTTTAGTTGGTAGAATGAAGCCCTGGATCCTGGATTAGCTCCCAACACTGCAATACAAAACCCAGGCCTTGGGGTGCATGTCTGTAATCCCAGCATTTGGGAAGCAGAGACAGACCAGTTCAGGGTCATTGGCTTACATAGCAAGTTGAAGGCTAGCCTGGGCTAATGAGACTCTTCTCTAATAATAAAACACTGTAGAGAGTCAGGAACCCTTGACCTTTACTTCCCATCCCATTTACAAATGTCTGAAAGTTTGGTGAACATTGGGAAAACGCTGAATAGTTATTAACTCATCTATTTCTCTGAAGATTTTTCCAGAGGCTTTTCATGTTCTTTTCTAGTTCCTTACCAGTCTGTGTGTAACTCCCAAAAATCATGTGATAAAGTTTAATCCTAAATATAATCCCCTGCTATAATGGAGTATAATAACCTTAATCTCTAAAATGAAAACAAAAGCTATCAGGCAGTATAATGATAATAAATTTGTCAGCTTCTTTTGGAATACTGGATTCAAACCCAGGCCAGACCCAAATTTTTCAGATTTTCAAAGTTCAGTAAGAGGGCTGGCCAGATGGCTCCGTAGCTAAAGGTGCTTGATGCCCTGGCCTTGCTCCCCGGAACCACAGCAGGAGGAGAGAACCGGCCTCGAAAGTTTTCCTCTAGTCTCCACCCACGACTGTGGCAATCAGTACACCTTCACAATAAATGATAAATGAATTGAAAGTTTCAAACTCAAGGCACCAGTGAGATGGCCCAGTGGGTAAAGACGTGTGTCACCAAGCCTGATGACCTTAGTTCAGTCCCCAGCACCCACATGGTAGGAGCCCTAACTCTCAGAGGTTGTCCCTGAACTCCACGTGTGCACTCCATGTGTGTACAACACTAAATGAGTACTCTCGACCTTCCTGCTTTTGCCTCATTGGTGCTAGGACTTAGAGTATGTGCCAGTGTGCCAAGCCCACAATAAATTTCTAAAATCTAAGTTATTTTTCTAAATAGAGTCTTACATTTTAGAAGCAGAAAGGACACATAGAAAAAAGCATTCCAACCCCCTCAGAGTAAGAAGAACAAGCAAAACCTTCTACTTCCCTGGGTCTCATTTTTCTGAGGTAATGTAAAGATTGCAGAAAGATGAACTCTCAAGTGGATGGTCCCTGTCCAGCTGTTCACGCCTGTTCATTCCAGTATGTAATATTTGTAGTTCAAGTAACGTTCACAAGAGGAGAGAAAGAAATGAACAAAAAGGCTTGCATACTGGAGACCCAAAAGGCTCTCTTGCCTTGAGAAGGTCCTAACTGAACACTGGCTCAGCATCTAGTAGCTTTTCTCCATTTCATAGTTACATCTCTGGGGTGCACATACCTTCATCCCAGTACCAGAGAGGTGGAGTCGAGGATGACAGGCGTCAGGCCACCCAGTGTGGCAGAGGGAGGAAAGGTCACCTGTACCCCAACGCTCAGGAGGATCAGAATTTGAGGGAATCTCTTCCTCTGCCTCCTGTGTATTGGGATTTCTTGCAGGCACTACCACACCTGGCTGGAGCATATCTTAAGAGGTGCATTGAGGGGTAGTCACCAGGGAAGAGTGTTTGTTCTGCCACTAAGTAGATGAGGGAGATGTGTGCTTTTTCAGGAAACAACGGGGATCAGACCCCAGCAGGGGGAAAGCATGTGCATTGTTTTGCTGACCAGCAGGCCCTCAGGAATAGCCCAGTGTGAAGTATTCCTTCCCTTCTGCCGCTTTCTGTTTTAACGACTCTCTCTCCTGATGCTCTTGACTGTCCTCTTCCTCCCCCAGGACAGCTCAGACACTCCTTCACGCACTGAATTGTCAGCTACAGGGTACTTTTCTCTGTATAGATTTGCATTTTTTTCTGACTGGAACCTCATTTGGAATGTGGCATTTGCACTTAACTGTCTTTGGTGTTTGTAACACCTCCCAGTTTTCACCTGTGCTTCTTAGCATCTTGGGAGTCGGTTTCCTGAGTGGATATTAGTCAGTAGGAACCTGAAGCTAATTTTCTTTTTTACAGGCTGTGATTGTTAAAGAAACTTATTAATTTTAGTCTGATCTTTAGTAACTGTAAATTATGCTTTGCTTTCAGTTATATTATAATTACTAGATGTTGGGCCAGAGAGGTGGCTCAGTGGTTAAGAGCACTTGTTGCTCTTGCAGAGGACCCAGTTCCATTTCCCATCGCCCACATGGCAGCTCACAAGTCCCTGGAATTTGAGGTTCAGTGATCCAGTGCATTCTTCTGCCTCTTTAGGCACCAGACACATGTATGGTCCACAGACATGCAGTCAGAACACTAATACATATAAAAGAAATCTAAAGGCAGTTAAAAAAAATTACTGGAAGTCTTAACCATTTTTTAGTAGCATTAAATTCCTTGACATCTCTCTCTTCCTCCTCTCTCCTTCCTTCCTTCCTTCCTTCCTTCCTTCCTTCCTTCCTTCCTTCCTTCCTTTTTTTTTTTTGAGATAGAGCCTCATGTAGCCCACTGTTTTCCTTCATTCTCCTGCCTTTACCCCCAAGCATTGGGATTATAGGAGCTGCTGCTGTGTTCAGTTTATTTGGTGCAGGGATCCAATCAAGGCCTAGTATATCTCGGCAATCATTCACCAAGGTACATCACCAGCCCCGAAGTCATCGTTTTTTTCATTAGGCAAGATAGTTTGGGGTTTTACTTTTTTTGGTTTTGGTCTTTTTTTTTTTTTTTTTTTTTTTTTTAATGGACATTTGTGTTCTGGCTGCATATATATCTGTGTGAGAGTGTCAGATTCCCTGGAACTCAGTTGCAGATGAGCTGTCATCTAGGTGCTGGGAATTGAACCTGGGTCCTTTGGAAGAGCAGCCAGTGTTCTCAATCAATTGCTGAGCCATCTCTCCAGTCCCTGGTCTTGTTTTTTGAGTCAGGTTCTCTATACAGGTTTGGCTGTCCTTGAATTTCTTTTGTAGGTCAGGCTGGTCTCGAAATCATGGAGATCCACCTGCCTCAGCTTTCTCAGTGTTGGGATTAACAGCATGTGCCACCATACCTGGCCCAAGATAGTATTATAACTGCTACCAAATCTGAAGTATAGAGGCTTTTTTTTTTTTTTTTTTTAACTGATTTTTCTGCTGGGCAGTGGTGGTGCTCACCTTTAATCTCAGCACTCAGGAGACAGAGACAGGCAGATCTCTGAGTTCAAGGTCAGCTTGGTCTACATAGTCCCAGCCCAGGTAGGGTTGTGCAGTGAGACCCTGTCTCGAAAAACTAAAGCCAATAAACAAACTTGTTTTTCTAACAACTGCATATTTGTTAGAAAAAAAAAATAAGACAATGTGAAACTACAGAATGCTGTAGGTAGGCACTGTTTATCCCTTGATCTATGTTACTTTAGGCCTTGTATTTTGTATTTAGAGGTTTGCTGGCATGCATAGCAGAGTCTCATGAGCCCACGTTTCTGCCCTCTACCAGATCACTAGTGTAAGGCCATTTCTGTGCATCTACATTCTCTTCTCCCTCTCTTTTGTATCATTTTGGGGGAGGTCCTTGGTATCATATCGTATGTATTTCAACAAATGTCTATAAAACAACCATTAAGCTTTTATAAACTATGACTAATTAGTATGGTGAATAAATAAATATATAATCTAATCAATACAATTAAATATAATATAAATAGTACTAAATATATGATAATTAAAAATGAACATTTCCTTAAGATTATTAAGTTTTTAGTTGTTCAATTTACCAATTTCATTATGGCTTTTAAAACTGAAGGCAGGTGGTGGTGGTGCATGCCTTTAATCTCAGCACTTGGGAGGCAGAGGCAGGCGGATCTCTGAGCTCTAGGCCAGCCTGGTTTACAGAGCGAGTTCCAGGACAACCAGGACTGTTTTACAGAGAAACCCTGTCTTGAAAAGCCCGAAAAACCAACCAACCAAACAAACAAACAAAAAATTGTTTGAACCTAGATCAGTTAAGGTCCTCGGCCAAAGTTGGTTGATGTGGCTTTAATAGACACTTAGAATGTTATTTTAATTACTTTTTATTGTTTTTTAATTATATTTCTTTATTTGGGGGCACTACCAGGTGCATGTGGTAGTCAGAAGACAGCTTAGGGAAGTTGGTTCTTTCCTTGTACCATGTGTTTTCTGGGGGCCAAACTTAGGTTGTCAGGCTTGGTGGCAAATGCCTTTACCTGCTGAGCCATTCACTGGCTGCACTGTATAGACTCTGACTTCATCTCGAGTTCCTTCTCCAGGACTCTTTGTTCCAGGGGAAGATGTCCATGCTATTAAAGGAACTGTGCTGTTTGTTAATTTCCCGTAGTCTGTACTTCAACAGTTATATCCTGAGGGATAATTTAGTATCTCCCTTTGATTTTTATGTTTATAGAAAATTGGTTGTGCATATTTTAATATAAATGAAGTTCATTATATATGCTAGTTTATCTTTTCAAGTAGTAAAATGTGTATGATCATCTAGTATCATTTCATGTTTTTCTACAACTGTGTTCATAATGCTCGTATAAGTATTTCAGCTCCTTAATGTTACACTTCTCACTTATTCTTAATCTTTCTCTAGCTAAGCAGTCCAGCTATAAACATTCTTCTAGCTAGCTAAAGAATTGCTCTTAGGCATGATTACCCAGCACTCGTTAAGAAGAGCAGATTCTGTGCAGTGAATGCCATGAAGATTTTTGGTGACTTGTTTCCCTTACTCTTTTAAGGCAAAATGGGCATATCAAGTTTTTAACCAAAGGAGATAATAATGCCGTTGATGACCGAGGCCTCTATAAACAAGGACAACATTGGCTAGAGAAGAAAGACGTTGTAGGGAGAGCGAGGGGGTAAGTACCCAGGGGATCATCTTGGCCTTTTCATATCGCTTTAAACGTGGTCTTACTGACTGTGCAACTGAATGCAAAGCAGTCAGCCCTGGTTCCACCAAGTTACCTTTTGTCTTTAAAAGATACACATCTTAAACTGCATCTGAGTCTTAAGTCATACTACTCCTGAGGGGAGGGGTGGGTACAAATAAGAGTAGAATACTAGGGATAAGATCGGATACTGCATATCACAATTAACTAAAAACTGTTAGCCAGGTGTGGTGGTACACACCTGTAATCCCGGCTCCGGAAGTAGAAGCAAGAAGATCAAGAGTTCAAGGCTAGACTCACTAAAAAGCTGTGAGTTTGAGGTTAACCTGGGCTACATGAGACTCTCTTTCTAAAACCAAGAATCAGTTATTCAGTTCACTCAAGGAATATTGATGTCAGTAGTTGGTCGGGCTATTGGGTCCAGAGTAGTATTAATGCTGCTTCATAAAACTTAGGTTATTAGAAATTTATTGGGACAATTTAATTGTTCATCTAAATTAATTTTATTGTGTTAATTTATCCTATAATGTTTGATTCTAGTCTTGACGTTGATGAGGTTAAATGAAATTTTTAAATTATGTTAAGCCTGTTCATTTCAGATATTATCAGGAGAACAGATCAGTGGAGGACAGGAATTGTAAGTTACGGTATAAGGAAGTATGGAATTACTTCTTCAATGTACTAATAGTATTAACATAACTCACCTTCATTAGGGCTTGCTATATACCAGACACTCATTGTATGTGCCTTATAAGTATTGCTTCATTTTAACCTCCAAACAACGCTAATATTCCCATTCTGCAGATGAGGAAACTTAGATAAGCCATGTTATGTCTGTAAGATCACGCTGATGGTGGTGGTAAGTGGCTGGAGCTCCAGAGCCCGCCCTCTGCGTCATCACAGCAGAATTGCTAGCATGGTGTCCCTCCCACACATAGGCGGGTGCTGGTTCTTGCTTTTGGTGCTTCATAGCATTCTTACTCTTGTCAGAATGTTGTCCTTACTATGTAAATCAGCTGAGGAACAGCCACCTCCCTGGGACACTGCTGTGCAGTGTATGTAAGTTTCTAAGTTTCTCAGTTGTAGCCTGAGAGATGGGAAGGAATCCAGATCAGAACAGTACCATTGTGTTGTGTTTTGTCTGCATGTGCTTGCGTGTGTATCCAACTTCAGGAGAATGTTTATAACCTGTGTTGGAGCTAAAGATGATCCACATTAGGTCATCCGTGCCTCTGAGAAATAGATCTCCAAATTTCCTCATTTCCAAAGATGCTCCTGTCATGTTTTTTCAGACTCATTAATCTCTTTTTAGCCTCTATTTTTCCTTCAGTTGTAAATCTGCAGATACATTTAGAATGATAAGGAAATTGCAGTTGTCAGAAGGTAAAGCGGCTGCTTTACTTTCTCCACCTCCATCAATATTTACTATCAACCTGTTGATTTTAGCCTTTATGTATGGGACAGAGATGCAGGCATTAAGTGTACATGCTCCCACATTCATAAAAACATTAGTTATATAAGGGGAGAATAGTCCACTATTGTACAACTCCCTTTTCACTCCAAGGGGTGTTTACAAATCAATACATTTGCCATCATTTGCAGAGCTAGTACCCCATTCTTGGGGTAGCTCATACAGCTACTGGGTGTCCTAGCGTCAGCCCCGACCTGTTTTTAGTTGTTTGTTTGTTTTTGTGAACACTGTTAGAATGAACGTCTTGCTGTTAGACATATCCAGTGATTTTACCCAGTCTTCCCAGTAAAATAAAAAAATCTGAGTTACTGGGTAAAGCATATGTACACTTTAAAGCTTTTTGACAAACTTTGCTGAACTGTTTCTGTATACTCCTTCCATTTAAGAGTGTCCCTTTAGCCGGGCAGTGGTGGCGCACACCTTTAATCTCACCACTTGGGAGGCAGAGACAGGCAGATCTTCAGGTTCGAGGCCAGCCTGGGCTACAGAGCAAGTTCCTTCTAGAACAGCCAGGAGTACACAGAGAAACCTTGGGTAGGGGGTCTCTTTATGTGTGTTTGGTTCTTTATTGTCACAATTGTGTCTGCCTATTCTGTCCCTTTGTTGGTTAAAAGATGTCTCATTCTCCAGGTTAGTAATCAGGCTTTCTTTCTCTCAACTAACTTGTCTTTCTGAAGATTTTTTTTTTAATTCCAAACTATATAAAGTTTAAACTAAAATCTCAACTTTAACAATATAAGCCCTTTAATGGCTGTTAATAAAAAAAAATCAATAATCTGAATTTCTATGAAATATCAAACACCTGGGACACGAACAGCTGGCAGACAGGCTTCCCTGGACAAACTCACTTTCCCCCGCCACTGCCCCAGCACTTAACTTGACAGGCATTGAAGTGAGTCGCCCTCCTTGGTGGAAAGTGAATTTATAAAGCACCAGGCTGCTATTTCAGAAGCAGGCTGGACCCCACTCTTGGGGATAGGGCGTTTCTGCAGGCAAGCCTGTGACTGTGCTACAAATACCTTTAGAAATAAAATGAAAAAATAGTTGTGTTTTTTCTGAGCTGTTGCACGCTGATACCTAAGGTTCTGCACCGAAATTGTTTTTAAAAATGTTACTGAAACAGAGTTTACATATTTGGGGATAGAAGGTTCTCTATTTTAAGGGGTATAATCCACAGATTTTAGTATATCCACAAGTTTGTATTACCTAATTCCAGAACATTCCTCTCTACCTTCACACTCATTAGCAGTCACGTCTCATCCTTTCCTCTCCAGCTGCTGATAGCCGCTGACCTGCTGTCCAGGGCTTGGCCTGTTGGGGCAGTTCATGGAAACAGAATCATACAGTTGTGATCTGCTGTGTTTGGCTTCTATCGCCTAGCTTAATTTTCAAAGTTAATTCATCTTCTAGCATGTAATAAAAGCTTTAGAAATGAAACTAATACTGTACCAACTAAAGATTTAATAGAGATGAATTTGGAAAACCAGAAAGTTAAAAAATACTAGAGGGCCTGTTGGTCACAGAGAAGAGAGCAGTGGGAGAAAAGAGAGGGGACAGAATAGTTGGTAGAAAATGTCATTGTGGAAAAAATGAAGGAAGCCAAGGAAGGGAAAACTAGAATAGTGATGTTCAGAGCATCCAAACAAGACCGTCCCAACAGAAGAGGAAGCAGTGTTCTTAAGAGGAAATAAAGTGCAGAGACAAGGTGTCTACTCTCCAAGTTTGCCACAGGCTTTGAGGTACAACGGAAATGCTGGTTACCCTGACTGGTTTTAGTGCACTCTGGATACATGTATTAGAATATAGTAGGTGGTAGCCCATAAAATGCATGTAAGTGACATGTAAATAAAAAATAAAGCTTGCGTCCAGGTACAGTGGCGCATGTGTATAATCCTAGTACCTGGAAGCTGGAACAGGGGCTCTCTTCAAGTGAAGCTGTTCGCAGAAGCACAGTGAAACCCTATTTTGAAAATTAAAAATACGGGACTGAATAGTTGGCTCAGTGGGTAAGAGTATTTATTGTTGTTTCAAAGAATGCAGGTTCAATTCCCAGCACCCAGATGGAGGCTCACCACCTCCTTGGGTACCAGGCACACACGTGCACAGACGCACACGCAGGCTAAACATTCATATACATAAAATAATAAAAATAAGTCTAAAAATGATTTTAAATAAAAAAAATTAAAAATATAAGAGTTTGACGTGAGCTTTCTCTTGACTGAAATCAACAACTACAATGTATATATTTTTATGAATATACATTTTTAAATGCACTTTTTAACAGCTAAGCTTGGTGGTTGTATGCCTGTGTTAACAGGATTAAAAGTTCATGGCCAGCTTGAGCTACATTAAATCTTATCTCCCCAAAAAAACCTTACTTTTTATTTAATTTGAAGCAGATCATTTCAAAAACCAAACTCTAATCTGAGGTCATTATATAGTATTTTATTAAATTGGCTTCTGAGGTCCAGACTTTTTATTTATTTATTTGTTTGTTTGTTTGTTTGATAGTCTCATTGTGTAACCCTGGCTGTCCTGGAACTCACTTTGTAGACCATGCTGGCCTTGAACTACCAGAGATTACCTCCCTCTGCCTCTGTTGGGATTAAAAGCATCCACCAGGCATGGTTTTTTTTTTTTTAAATTAATATTTATTTTTATAAATGTGTATGTGGTTATTTCACAGTTCCAATGTAGAGGTCAGAGGACAGCCTAGGGAAGTTGGTTCTTTCTTCCCACCATGTGTTTTCCAGGGTTCAAAGTCATCGTCAGGCTTAGTGGCAAGTGCTTTACCCAGTGAGCCATCTTGTCAGCCCAAACTTCTATTTTATTTTAGTTTGGGTTTTTCCGAGATAGGGTGTTACTATGGAGATCTGGCTGTCCCAGAACTCACTATGTGGACTAGGCTGGCCTCAAACTTGACAGTAGGCCACCTTCCTCTGTCTCCAAAGTGCTGGAATTATGTTAATCTCACCAGGTGAGAATAAAGCCACTACCACAAATTTTGAGCCAAATTTGAAGCAAGCTTCATTAAGTATTGGCTCGGACAATGGACACTAGCCAGGTCCATATCCGGGATGCCCAGAGTATGACACCAAATTACATTAGGCAGAGGCTTATAAAGGCAGAACCCACAAGGCTACGTACTTCCTGCCTATGTACCTCCTGCCTGTGTGTGATCAAGCACATCCTATATATACAGTTGGGGCAACCAAGCTTGTTGACAGAAGCGAAAACACGTTTGTTATCGTGCATGAGCAACAGCTCCCAACGTTTCAAGAAGTTCTCTGCCCTGGGGCAAGTGGGGCTGACAGGTTAGAGGCATTGTTTTGTTTTATAGATCTCTTAAGCACAGTAATTTAAACATAAAACATCACTTTAGCCATTACATTTAAAGGTGTGCTCCACTACTCCCAAATTGCCCAACTTCTTAAATATAGATCCACTCTTACTTTGTGTAGCATACTTTCTTTACCATTTTAAATGTTTATGGCTGTTTTACCTGCGTTCATGTCCACACCACACTGTGTCTGGTGCCAGAAGAGGTCAGAAGAGGAACCGTCGTTCCAGACATTGTTAGCAAGCATGGAAGTGCTGGGGTTAGACCTGGGCCTTGGCCCAGCCTGTGCTCTTCAGTCCTGAGCCACCTCTGGCCTGCACTTTCTCCTGAAGTATCAGTTGGTGATGCTGTTTCTGTACACTCCTTTTCCTGTCCGTCAGTGCACTCTGGCTGGCTACATCTACTGAAATACATTAAGAGGCATTCCATAAACGTGTGCGAGTCTTTCCTGTAAATAAGAAATAGAGCCCGTGTGCAGGCAGAATCAGTGCGGCCCCAGCCTCCCTCCTTGCTGAGGTTACTGGCTCGGCGCCACAGCAGCCTGAACAGCACTTTGGCTCACGTGGACTCTAGACCGTACACTACCCTCTAGATAAGAACTTGGCATGAGCTGGTGCTGGAGGTGGTTTGTGAGGGGCATTTGGTTACTTATGTATAATCTTAGTCTGCTTACCAGCAGGTTGGCTTTAACACAGCTGTCTACCTGAGCGGTATGGGGGTGGGAAGTACTGTGGGTTAGGATTTAAACCGGCTAAGGATACCTTCCCAGAGCTTAGCAATGTTTTGTGGGTGTCTCTTTTTGGCTCTTGGGGAACCCACATGTTGACACAGGTCCTCTGTGGTGAAACTGCTTGTCACCATGTATCTGTGTCATGCACCTTATCTCAGACCTAAACATCTTGAACTTGAGTGTGCAAGAGCATTATTTGAAGTTCATCTTTTAGGGATTTGTTTACTCAGAAAATCTGAGGGCAGTAGAAAAGTATATGTGGTTAAAAAAAAAAAAAAAAAAAAGCCG